CTGGTGAAGTTTGTTTCGCTCAAAGGCAGCGAAACACGCCATGATAAATTTTTGGGAAATGTAAAGGAAGGAAGGGAGGAAGGAAGGGAGAAAGGAAGGAAGAGAGGGAGAAAGGGAGGACGAAAGGAAGGAAGGAAAGAAGAAAGGGAGGGAGGAAGGAAGGAAGGAAGGAAGGGAGGAAGGAAGGAAGGAAGGAAGGAAGGGAGGAAGGAAGGAAGAGAGGGAGAAAGGGAGGATGAAAGGAAGGAAGGAAAGAAGAAAGGGAGGGAGGAAGGAAGGAAGTGAGGGAGGAAGGGAGAAAGGAGGCAAGGGAGGGAGGGAGGAAGGAAGGAAGGGAGGGAGGGAGGAAGGGAGAAGGGCGAGAAGGGGGAAGAAAGAGCGTTTGTATGTAAAAGGAAGAAGTCTTGATGGGGAAAAAAAAGAGAAATTCAAAAGGAGGAAGTGGGAAACTGAGGATGAAGAGATTTCCCTTTATTCCTCACCTCCATCACTTCAATTGGCTTAATGTTTTAAATTCAGCCAACTATAATAATAAATCAAAATATTACCTGTGATTTAGGGTTAATTGTAGCCAGTGGGTGAATAAGGGGAATCTCCTTTGTGGATAGACAAGGAAGGAGTTTTGATATCTGAAAAACAATTAAATTTAAATGAATTAAATGTGCTAGTAAATACACTGTAGAGTGATTCACATAGAATCTGTATTGGTACTCAAAGAAATTAGCAAAAGGCACAATGCAAATGAAGCAATCTGATATACATGATTGCATAATGACAGTAATTTAGTTCAAATTTTCCTTTCCATGATTCATAAAGAAAAAGATGCTTACTCAAAAGCTTTGTTACTTTGGTCGCTGCACACTCATTCACACTAACTTATATTTTCAGCTATATTTATTTAGCTCTTATTAACCGAGCAGGAGGTCTGCATGGGAGAATCTTGACCGAGGTCGTGAGTACAGACCGAACGCAGTGAGGTCTGTACACACGACTAAGGTCAAGATTCTCCCATACAGACCGACTTAGCTCGGTTAATAAGATGTTTATTATATGGCAAAGAAGAAAACTTTAATTTGTTTAATGTAGCTGGTTTGCTAACATTTTGCTTGCAAATGGCAATGAGCTTAACTTAAACCTGCCGAAATTTGCTCGTCCTCTTTTCTTTTTTTTCTTGTCATCAGGCTTTTTGGCACTTCCATAAATGATTGAGAAGAAAATAAAAGAAAATGGTGAACCTTTTTGTATTTTAGTTTGCTACTTTTTCAACGCAAAATGATACCCNAGCCATATAATAACAACTACTTATTAACTGAGAGTGAGGTCTTTACAGGACAGGAAAATCTCAGACCGAGACCATGCCGTATTGACTGTGCAATAGCGAGGTCATTATGACAAGGTCGAGGTTTGAGATTTTCCCGTAAAGACCGAACGCTTGAGGTTAATAAGTTGTTTATTATATGGCTTTTTGCTTGGTGTTTGCAAGACCATAATCAGCCTGTGGGCATTACGGGAGAATAATGCCCTACAATTAGCCAATCAGAACGTGCGTTATATCAGCTGCAAGAACAAGCCATACAATAAATATCTATACTGCAGTTAAACCTTCCCACATGAGGTAGGGATTAGGGGTGTACTGTGGCACCTGTTTTTTGGGGGTGGGGTTGCATCATTTTTACTTGTACAAATGCCAATTGTAGCATATAAATACTTAACAAAATGAAAATATATCATTTAATAAAACAGAAACCAAACAGGAAGAGAGACCAATGATGTGCAATAAGAATCAAGTTTTGTGATCTAGCTTTTAAATTAACTAGTGAGACAATCTCAGATAATGCAGAATGCAATTGATAGCTCTGGCACGGTAGTCCCATAAGTATTCACCCCTGCTCGGTTCACCTCCGGTTCTACCTTGGTAGTCTGCTAGGGCTTTTCCAGTGTGTGTTTCAAGGTTGTATTTTCATTCAAGGTCCAAAAATTATGTGCAAATTACTACTGGTGTTTTAAGTTGATTTTCGTTCATTTTAAATTCAATATTACGCTGAGGCAGCAAACATGACAATTTAGCTCTTCACGCCAACTTTGTAACTTGATACTTTTGTTTTCCTCACTCAGGCATGTAATATGAAACCCTTGTTTTCTCCAAAACACACGGAAGATGTGCTTGTTTTTTGGAGTTAATGTCGTTGTTCCTAGCGAAAGTAAGTTGACCGTGGCGACTTGCGATTGAACCAGAGCTATTACTCAAATACAAACAACTCGTGATCGCGTTAATGGGGGAACACTGCCTTGCGTTTGGTTAGCCCATGCGACTTCCGGCGATAGCGTGACAAAACA